TCTATATACTAAATAAACTAGTGAGGCATTAAAAACACATACTTTAAACTTTTATTTATCTAAAATGTATCCATTATAAATATTTAATAGAATATTTAAATAATATTTAACAATTTAAAATATTACTACCCACATTAAAATTAATTATTCTTTGTTGCTATTAGTCTTTAAAGCCCGTCGCCAATAAGGTATCTGTAACGTGCCTTAGGAAATCGTTACCTTTCAAAATAGAAACAACGTCTGCATCACGTTTAATTTAAAAGGATAAAATTTGCATATCCTTTCGCGGCAACATTCGCGCCGAAGTTTGCATGTGACAATTTCATTCGTAATACTATAGTCGCTCTCTTTGTTGTTTACGGACGTATTGCACGAAATTTGCAGAAAATGTCTGGTTTTGATGATCAGCAAATATTCCTGTCTCTTATACACATCTTGTACTGCGCCCTTTAACATGCACATGGGCCATATTGTACACAGGACCAATGGCTTAAACATCTCATCCAAACAGGGTGCGTTATCGTAACTTGCATTTCAGCCCTGAAACTGAAATACAAAGAGAGCAGCGATGGGAATTGTACCGAGGACCAAGAGATCTCCAAAGTTTTAGCACACACAGTGGCTACCGCCAGCTAAGCTGACATGGCTAATATCTTCTTGCCAAAATGGTTTATTAATTCTCCAAAATACTGGCACCAAATTCTATGATTTTTGAGAGTTGGGTATATTAATAAATAAATTTCTCACGAATACACAAGCTAAATTTGCAAAATGTTTTCTCTGTATTTATTTATTCAATTTCATATTTCATATATAATTGTTCAGTCTTCCTGCAACAACTAAGTAAAACTCTGAAATAATTCAATTGTATTTGATATGAGTTTCATAACAAACAACACAGAAGACACCTTTATAATGCAGTAGTAAATGTAAACAATTTGTGAACATTGTTATGCAGTAAAAATAGCTACTGGCAGTTGCTTCATAATTATGTACAGTGTGCATTCCCTGCCTCCCACTTGGAAATGTGCTTAGCAAAAAAATCACATAATTTCACCTTATTTTGCTAGCTAAATCCTCTTTAGCGAAGTAATAGAGCCCACACCATCCCTGATATAATACTTGGATGGGCTTATTTTCGAGATTGCAAACTTTTGCAAACTAAAGAGCATATGTATGAACACCAAATATTTGGAATTGCTATTATGCAGTATGTTTCAACTATGGAATTCATTTTTTTCTTTATTTTATTTTATTTGTTCACCATTCAACAGCAACGTATGTTGCCACTTACAGAATTGAAACAGAATTAAAAATATATATATATATAATTGGGAGCCGCACGTCCTTCTGGCGACAGTGAACTTTCCGCTTTTGCGACTCCTGAGCCGTCATGCCAAATGAATAAAATAAAATATATACTGCAAATGTACACATTTTAAAATTCATTAGCTAAAAACAAAAAAATATTCAAAAAAAAAATTAAAATACTTAATTATTTTTTTAAGAAAATGCTGGTACAAAAATAATATTGATACTGACACATTATTATAATCAATGTCAGTCTGACTTTAAATACTATCTCAAAAAGAAGCCCAGCTACAAACTTGATTAGAAGCCCATGGGCTTCTTTTCGAAATGGGCTTTGAAAGATTAAGCATCGGGCTTCAGTTAAAGGTTTATGGTACTGTATATCATACATTTGGGTCATTTCAAATGGCTCTGGCTCAAATCTGCCAGAAATTAAAAAGTTTCCATGTGACCCCTCTTGGATTTTCCTTTTAAAAATTCTAAAAATACCTTGATATGTCAAAAGAAAGAATTCAAAAATTTCAGCTCTAATTTCCAAGTGGTTTTAATAAGTTATGACCTTTTAAAATTAAGGTACCACACCCCCTTTTTCATGCCGGAAATGGCTTCTTTAACTTTGTACAGTTTTTGCGAAGCTATATCTCTGGAAATAATGCAGATAAAAAGTTCCAAGTTGAAGTTAAATTTATTTTTAAAAATCAGTTCACACTGAAGGAGTTATTAATTAATATAAGTGTCTACGTGGTCATCCACGTAGGGTCAATGTTCCTGTAACCATGTTTGGGACCCCATCATATTGCTCTAATTACCTTGCAAACTGTTATGTATGTAGTAGTATGAGCATATTCATCACATGTTTCATTTTGACTTCCTTACTTTAAAGAATGATAAGATATGGCCCTCCGAAAAAGCGAAAATCTATTTTTGCACAATGCTTTGGGGAATTTTTTTTTTGGGGGGGGGGGGGGGGGTGGACATAACATTCTAATAAAATACGCTATCCAAATTTCAATGGTATTTCTTGAAAGAAGGGCCAAATTTCAGTATATGTAGCAATTTTCAACTTTTTATCTTCGTCATTTCAGGAGATGTAGCTTCGTAAAACCGTACAAAGTTAAAGGAGCCATTTCCGACATGAAAAAGGGGGCGTGGTACCTAAATTTCAAAATGTCATAACTTAAAAACTGCTTGGAAATTGAAGCTGAAATTTTGGATTCTTTCTTTTGACATATTAAGGTATTTTTAGAATTGTTTTCAGGAAAATCCAAGAGGGGTCACATGCGCATGGTGGTTGATTTGAGCCGGAATGACCCATTTTCTAATATTGTCCACATGTACGATACATGTACGTTGTTCCTTTGATGTATGCACACAGTATAATATATATTAAATCCTAACTAAATTATTCTACGCTTATCATTGCACTTGATTTATGCTACTGCAGTGCCTAAATAATTACATTATAATGTACAGTACATGAATTGAAAAAAATCAAGATGATGATTCAGAGGTAGAACACGTACACTGCCCTCTACAGACTGTATAAATCTAAATGTCAAGAACACTTTTTTGTAGAGTACTGTGTATGTTGAATATTATTTCCACAGGCCTTCTGTGATTTACGAGTCTCCAGTTCTCCCATAAATAGGCTCCACAAAATTTTAAAATGTATGTTTTTACTATTCTGTATTGTCTATTTTTATACATTATTATTATACAAAAACAAACATCAATGAAAAAAAAAACAATGTGACAGTTTAAGCTACAGTCTGTAACCAAAGACCATATGGTACCACTACACGGGGTGCTATACGATCTTTGGTCACAGTAGATTACACTGACGTCACGGTGCTAAAGGGGTAAATCGTAATGGCGTATAACTTCATAATAAAAATTGCCAAAAAATAATTTTAAAGTTGATTCTTTTACTAATAAAATATAAATAATCACTCTAGAAAAAAGAAAATTAACTAGGTCCCTTTCAAGGATGTTATTGAAAACAGTAATATTAATCTTCCCCATTTAACAAAAAACAACCAGTTAAAATATATACAACAATTGCCTTTCAGCGCCAACCTAGCATTGTGGGATGTGCATGTTAAATTCTAATGAATTTTATTTTTGTACAGTACAATATAATTTAGCTAAACCTCCATTTTTAAGTCAAAAGTTTTACATGAGTAACAGCTGCAATTTGTTTCCACGTTATAATAAAAATAATGTTTGTTGTATAGCTACATTTCATTTTAAAGATTAGTGTAATTTCAGTCTGCTATGTCTCTGCATACATCTTGGATTATTTTATTAAAACTCTCTGCTTTATCTGCATACACATGATGCCCTGCCCCTTGTACTATCTGAAAGAAAAATATTGAGTATATGATGAAATGATTTATTAAATTTAAGAGGTCAGGTTTAAAGAAATAATACATATTAATATATACAGAAAAAAAAAACCTTAATTAATTGATAGCTTTTAATACCGTAAAAGTCGAGAAATAAGATGTAGCCAACAAGCACTACTTGACATCCTAAGAGGCAAACATAGCTGAGAAAATCAGGCTTTTACCACTGTCAGACCAAAGGCTCTTCAAACATTGTTCAATTCACTTCACCAAATTAAGTCGCTACTCAAGACAAACCTATATACATCGGTTTTTGAATGGTGCTCAAAACAGTGACTGCTGGCATGGCACCATTTAAATGGAAATTATGTTATAAGAGTTTTGATTCTGGCTGCAACAAAGCTGTTATTAAAGGCCTCATAATTGCAGTAGATATAGAATATCCATTGAAGCTACAAACAGAAAAATGTGATCAAATGCATCCATAAACGGAATCTACAATGACCCAGATGATGGATATGCAGATGATATGGCAGTTGGAAGAAAGAAAGTCTGCAGACTATAATGAACATCCTTAATGACATATGTTCAGAATTTGGCCTCAATATCAATACCAATAAAACACAAACCTTCATCTGGAACTTGAAAAAAAAATTACCCAAAAATTAATAACCAAATTTAAAGAGACTCCAACTGTGAAAGTCCCTCCCTGGCACCTTTATTTCAAATACCGGATCAGCCACTAATATTATATAATTTATTCGTTGGTAAAGATATTTAGAATAACAATGCAAACATGATTAAAAGACAAGCACAACTAAAATCGCACGATAGAATTGACGACCGGGACCCAAAAAAGGCAGGGCCCCAAGTTTCAAAAAGCCACAGTGCACCGTCCCCTCCCCCATTGTTACGCCACTAATAATGACAAGGTTGCTGTTGGTTCACCTCAAATTATATAGTTTTAAAAGCAGTATCCTACTAATGACGTCAAGTCAATGTCTGCCAAATGTCTTGAGAAAGATGGCTATTTGTACCAGTGCCAGTACCAGATTGATTTGGAAACTAAATTTTCTGACAAACCTACCTTTATATTAACTTGTGAGTCCTTGCGTATGTACTTAATGCTATATGCCATCTTGGAGTCCATCCATGATTTTGATCCATAGAGTACAGTTAATGGCACTTGTTTATCGAGATCTGCAATTCGATTTATCATTGGGTTGTGAGCCCATGCAAGAAAAACCTGCAAAGACTTAAAACCTTCCTCACCACTAGCAAAATAGGAATAGAAAATATATAAGGTGAGGTTTTGTAGTCTTACCAAGTACTAATTCAGATAGATAAGAACTGTTGACATGATAGATGAAAAAAAAGTCTCATTGATCTCCAATCGTTACAGCGATAGAAGAATATTATTGATATCATATGGAACTAGAATGTATTTAACTATAAATACGTGCAAAGAGATAAGGTCAGAAAAGAGGCAGACAGAAAATACAGTGCCAGAGTATTAAAATGAGGGAGCTGATGGGATATAAGTGATAGGGCTCATAAATTAAGTGAAGGGGTGCCAGCTGGCAAAATAATTTTATATAATGAAGTGGAATGCAACAGCTAAATAGATAGAAAAACTACAGTACTTGTAGATAAGGCCAAAAAAAAAATTGTTTCTTTTGTCCGCCCCTAACTCACTAAAAAGTATAGGGGCGAAAAAACAAAAAAACACTTAAAAAAAGTTTTTTTTTTAGCTTTTTTTCTCACAAATTAAAAAAACAGTGAGTGAATTTATCTTTATTTTTTGCCAGATGCCCTACAAATTAGTCTAAAGTTGTTGACATCTGATGCAAGATATTGCCATTCTAGGCCTCTGTGGGTTATTTTTATTCCATCTGAGTATTTTTTTTTAAATAAATAAATTTAAAAAAAAACTTTTTCACCCGCACACGCCTATCATTTATAGAAAAGAAGGGCAAACAAATAATTTATTTTTTTGGCCTATTAAAAGTTATTAATAAATTGTAATAATTGGATTATCCAGCCAGCAGTTTACTTTAAAATAAATGTAATATATTGTAAAGTATATAATCATTAAACTAAAATTTATTGTCAAAAAATTACAGTATACACAGTATGACTACAAAATGTGGGATGCACCCAGCATGTTGAACAGTTGTGACTATTATCAAAAATGTATTTCCATAAGAAACTTCAAAATTCGAAATTTGTACAATATTTATAACAGTCTGTAATACTCACGTTGGACGTTGCACATTGCAGTGGTAAATGTATTTGCTAATCGTGTTCTGGTTGTCAACAGATGAAAATTTCCTGTCAAGATCCGGTCTGAGACGACCAACAAGATAATGACCTAAAAACAAAAATACAATTACATGATGTTGTATTATCATAACATCATATAAATAATATCAATATCAATTTAAAGGCATTTGATGCCGCATCTCTCTTCATGCAGAAGTATAAATTAGTTTAATGCAGAATTTGTTGTTCTCTTAAAGAATTTACATGGCTACAAGTACTACCGTTGAGCAGAAGAGGCTGCATACGGTGTACTGGCGTACATCCAATGACCATGCCGTAGAACTATGATCAGCAATTCACAAACATAGGCTTATAATCATTTTAGGTCATTGGTTCTCTAAAATCTTATGCGACAACCTAAACAAAATTATAGGCATCTTGCGTCCCACTACAACCTTTTCAGGACATTAAATAAACAGATAGGCCTAGCCTACTCAAAAAGTGAAATTTTAAATGATATTTAGAATGCACACTCTTTAATACATTTGAGATATTAGAGAACTGCTGTTTCAGGTATTTGACCACTTCCTACCCACTAATTTAAGTATGAGCAGGTTGGACTTTAGTAGGCTTCTCACTGAATATATTTTCAAATTAGGTATCTAAATTTTTAATTTCTCTAATATAAACTTAATCCATAATACTGTATTTAATATACTGAAATTTAATACAATTACAGTAAGTTCTATTTACATAACGGTACTTTATTTCAGATTAATACGTAGTCATTTATTAATAAAATTCATTTTTTGTAGTGTTCAAAAAGAAATGTTTCTTATTTTAGTCTATGTATTTCTATTGTTTAATTTGGACAATAAAAATTTTGGAAATTCGTATTTAAATTTGAATATAAGAAATTGGAAAATGTCATACTTTGCAGAATATTGACCTAGATGAAATACAATATAAATTATTATTTTAATATATTTTTTTTTCAACCAACAGTATGTATCATGTTTGATTTATGACTGAAATTCTCACCTAATGGGCCAGCAGCACGTAGTCCCGATAGAGGATTGAACGTCAACATTATAGTACGTACTACTCGCAGCCACAACGGGAAATTGCGTGTCTGCTCGAACTGTTCATCCCTCTCTGGGAAACCCCATGGATCAACAAGCACCATATGCTTGACACGCTCAGGATACTGAATACCGTATGCATATGAGAGAAATCCACCAAGGCTATGACCAATCAGTATCATCTTGTCCAAACCGACTTCTTCTCGCCATTCCTCTATCGAGTCTATAAACTCCCTCTCAGCATCATCAGGATAAGCTGGGAATTTCCTGCGAGTGCTACGACCAAAGCCTAGCAGATCAAATGCGTACACAGGGCGCACATTCGAGAGGGCGTCAAGATTCTGTACCCACAATCCTATTCCACCACCCATCCCATGAACAAGCACAATAGGGGTTTTATCTTGGGAGTTAGTATTGTTCATGAAAATTGTCCTAATTCGATCACCCTTTTTTGTTGTCACAAACCAACCCTTGTATGCATTTTTTAAATCTGAAAGTGAAGTAAAAAATAAGGAAAATCAACATATATACAGAATTGACACAAAAGCATTACAGACAACTGACTGACCACCTCTTTGGTACACTTCAGATAATAGTGAAAGAACATAGTGGAATGATTTAGTTGTGTTATGTAAGTAATTTTCAGGATCAAATTACACAACTATGCAAATTCAACATATTCTGATTTTTTTTTTTTGGTATGTGTTTAATATCTAACCCATATACATATTCTTTAACATGGTCTTCATAAAGGTGCATAAAAACTCATTTTAGAGGAAAAAACTGTACACCGCAAAACACTCTATTGGATATATTCGGTGTAAACACCAAGGATAGCCCACGAAAGTCTAAAACCTCTATATTCAACCCCCGGCCCACGGGCAAAATCCGGCCTGCCAAAGATTTTGATCCGGCATGCGAAATATTAACCAGACCTCTGCGAGGGCCAAGGTTCCTATGCGGGCATTCGTAAAATATTGCACTACTGTATTTTTGATGATGTAGACATGGCAACTAACGAGGGAGTGCTCGTGTTAATTTGAGATGACAAACACATTTAAGGGCAGATAGTTTCAGTTTTATCGTATGTATTCATGGCAATCATCAGGTGCTAGAAGTACCTCATGAAACAGCCTGTAGTGCAATAAAATGTTGAATTTGTAAAA